ACACATTCCTACGCTACTGAGCTACAAAAATTTGTAAATTTTACAATAAATTATGCACATGTGTAAATGTTAATACCATACCAAATTTGAATCAATTTGTTATAAGTATAGCAAAGATTTCATAAATAATATGATTTTAAAAAGCGAGCAATACGGCCCTGTACAATGAAATCGGTGAAACTTAGACCCTTGCTTTATAAGGCAATTTTGAATTATTTATTGAGTTCTATTTGTGGCTAAAGTTTGATTCACTCGAACTAAAACACCCTGTTGAGTGAAAAAACTAAAAAAGCGCATATGAAGTTTTATACAATAATTAATTAAAACGCCAAAAAATGCAAATATAGCAAAATTATAACAAACGACACTAAAAAAAATGCTTTTAACATGAGGGATGAGCCTGATTAGCAATTTTTCAGTATTTGGCTTCGAACCTCAATGTCGAAGAAAAATTTTTTAAATACTCAATGTTCAGTTGTAGAAAAAAATGTTTAAAAAGTATCTACTATAAATAAAATTGATTATTATGACCCTTGATGATATATCTGATGTTTTTTCTTCAAAAATCTAACCTTAAAATATATCATCAAGGGTCATAATAATCAATTTTATTAATTGCAGATACTTTTTAAACATTTTTTGTCTACAACTGAACATCGAGTATTTAAAATTTTTTTCCTCGACATTGAGGTTAGGGCGCTCCCTAAGCATTAAAAAAAAGACAGGGGTTTTCGAAAAAACCTCACCGGAATATGAAAATTCAGATTACCACGAGATTATTAAAAAAATCACGACGAGACGATGAAAATTGGCGAGTTGCGAGAAATTTGTCTAATATTTCCCACTGTGCATCGTGCTTAAACCATAGCTTTTTGTAGGAAATTTATGTAACTCAGGCTGTTCAATGTATGTTCATAAAAATAAAGCCCAATAATTAAATGCCCACCGATGATGAAGCACCATATATTTACTTAAAAATGGCCTTGGTTTTGGATTGGATTTATAATGTGGGGATTTTCAATGGACCAGTAATGTTCGTTGCGACTGTTTGGCAAACCATTACTGACAAACCGACTTTCGTCCGTCCAAAGAACGTACCGAAAAAAGTTCTGGTTGACAGTTTTTATTTACCACAATTTGAACTATAATATTAAGTCTGTTTTCAATGTGACGCTCAGGCAACTACTCCAAATTGTGAATTTTGTAGTCATGATACCCATTTGTCTTTAAAATTCGTCGAACGGCTGATTTATCCAAATTCAATTCCCAGCTAGCCTGCCGTATACAATTTTGTAGATTTCGTTGGAAATACTGTAACAATCTAGCTATATTAACATTGTTTCTTACCCTTCGGTCAATTATTTGATTTTTCCGAACAGAAAATGCATCTTAGTTAGTAATATATCAACTTTTTCTGAATGAGAAAACATTTAGTAATCACAAAAGTCTCGACAACAACAACAGCCTTAAAGGCTTTAACAATATTACACAAATTTAATGCTTAATGCAAAAATTTTCAATAAAACAGCGAAAACACAGTTTGCGAAACGAATAATCGTTAATATTTCTATCGAATTACATCGCGAGCGCTTCTCCGGAAAACACGCTGACATTTTTACGACGTGCCGGAATCGTAAAAACCATCCCGTACGGGCTACATCTCGGAACACATCCACTATATTAATTATGACATATTAAAAAGGGAAATTAAGGCCGCACATCCAAACAATAGGTAGAGTGTTTACAAGGCCCGGATCAATATTTATTTGTAATGCGTCCGATTGGGTATTTATCGCCAGAAACAAACAGTTATTTCCCATAAAACGCAGACATCTCAAAACAAACACCTTTATTTACTGGGAGCAACGATTCCCGCTTTTACGAAATTTGTTTTTCTTCGATTTCGTCGAAAATAAACCGATTTTTAATTATGGGAGAGTCTAGGGGACCTGGGGCTGCTTCAAATGCAACAACTGCGCGATGGAACTTGTCGGATGAAGTTAATGAAGGAAGAAATGTTCTTCGATACCAGAAATCCAGGTATGAAAAAGATATCTAACCCCAAAGACAAGACTTCTAACTAAAGTGAAATTTTTTTGGGAAAACTCATAAATATGAGTCAAAACTGACCTTGATTTTGTCCAAATACCCACAAGGTTTCTGCGAAAGGTTGGGAAATCTGGAGGTGGACATATTGGTGATCAAAATAAGTCGGATGAGTCAAATATGCCTTATGCAAATGTTGCCGGTTTCAAAGATACAGGGCGTTCAATGTTTGTATTTTATTTTGAAATTTCTCAATAATTTTGAAAACTGCCAGAGTATATTGTATATATTTTAACACAAAAACTAAAAATAATCTAAATATAATATAATTAATACAAAAACAAAAACTGATAAATAATGCAAACATCGAAGAAATATCCTGTATTCTCGCTGTCCTACTATCATTCTCCACAAAAACTAATCACGTAAAAAAAACAGCTACTACAAAGAGACCTTTTTATTTCTACAGTTTACTTAGGACTGTTTCATCAAGAAGCCTCCTTGTGAATAAAATCAGTAAATATTAAAAGGACAAAATAGGCCAACTGACTCAACTTATCTTTGTGCAAAATAACAAACATACAGCAAGTCAAAAATTAAAAAAAAATGTTCCTTCATTATTTTTCGACTTATTATTAGTAGATATTTGTATCAAATTTGGTCTACGGTGGTTTATAGTGATACGGAATTTAAATTTGATTAAAATTTTGACATATTTTATACGTAGCCCTACATTCGACACATGTAAAAAGTCTCAACTTTTTTGGTATGTGATTTCTCATATCAAACATTGGTTCCTAACACTTTTCTACGAATAAATGATATTAGTTGACATCGCTAGAAGCATCGACTTAGAGAAAAGAGAGATTTAACTTTGCAATGCAAGTAACAAGACACCAAAAATTAAAAAAACTCCCATAGACCGAATTGAATTTGGTCAAATTTGGTTCAATATTAAAGTAAGTTTTTTTGTTCATCTTTGATCCTTTGTATGTTTGTGATTATTAACTTTTGCACTATATCGTCTCCGAGAACCTCCCATTACACATTAACACAAAACACCCTGTACAATCGGTATAAAAATTATTAATCCCATTTTTGGAAAAAGTCGCTTCATCGGACCATAGAAGAACAACCTAGAATTGAAATTATTACCTCAAGCTCTAAAAAAACAGGGTTAAAAGGAACTATGACGTAAAAGCAATTTTATTGCATGAATCGTCCAAAGGGTAATTTTAGATGAAAAAACCGCGGAATGGTATTAAATTAGAGGGTGGAAATTGAAGATAGGAGTGAAAATGCACCCCTTTCAGTTTTTTAATTGTAGCTCGAAAACGAAGCAAAATTTCGCTATAGTTTATAGAAAAAATTATTTAGAGAATTGAATTTCCCATCGAAATGGCTTATTTAAAAAATTTGAAAAGAAAATTTTATGCAAAAAATCGTTAATAAACAATTTGAAAAAAAGCAAAATATTCAATTTTTTATTTTTTTTACTTTTTTGCCTCGTTTTTTTTTTGAGTTAAAATAGGTATAGGCATTGCTTCTTAAAAAAAGTAAATAAAATTTCCTTAAAAAAAAGAGGTTGTACAGTATTTTTGAATGAGAATTGACTGATACACGTGGAAAAAATTAAGAGATCAAAAAAAAATCTAAATTTTCGGCGATTTTTCAAATGGCTGTATCTTTGATAAAAATGGTCGTATTGAAGTAAAAAAAAGCAATTTGAAGCTTGAAGTTTCTAATTTTTGGATCTTGCAACAAAAATCAAGTAACACGTATCCCGCAATCTTAATGAATATCATGAAAAAAAATTTTCGAAATTTTTTTCGATATTATTTTTGGTGTACGGACTTGAAAAAATGTTTTCCAACTTAACCACCTTATGGAATAGATAGGTTGTTCATTTAGCTTCAATTTCTTTTTTTTTTTGGTCTCGATATGACCATTTCTCGCTGAGCTATCGGACTTTAAATGAAAATGGATCATTTTCCATTTGTTCATCGATATCTCAGAAACTAATGGTTGCACAGAAAATCGACGGTGGGTTTCAGAAACTTGAATGTATTCTCTACAAGGTCCTGGTACGGTTTTTTAGAAAAAACAATTTTTTTATATTTAACGTGACTGAAAAATCGTAAAAAATAGGACTTTTAGGGGTCTTCTAGAAAATCACGTGCTACATTGAGAATATTGGGAAAATGACTCATGTTAAGTGTGCCTTTTACAGGTCATTGTACCCCTAAAAGCCCTACAGTTTCAATTCGATCCATCAAGTTGTTTTTTTGTTTCATTCGATTGAATTTTTTAAAAAATTAAAGGATCACGTTTTTTTTGCTTTTAAATGCTCATAATCTGTAAAAAAATGAAAAAAAACATTTTTTTCCAGATTTTTTTTACATTCTTATTGCAGAAAGCGTTTAAAACTATTAAAAAAAAATAAAAATTATTAATTTTTTTTTCTAGGTACTTAAAAAAAGGTGGTTTGAAAAAAACTATTTGTTTTAGTGTTCTGTAAATTCGGAAAAAGCGTTTTATGAATTCAGAAGTATCGCAGCAATAATCTCTGAAAAGGGTGTAGATCGAGGTCAATATTCGGTTAGGGATATCAACTTTCTTAAATTTAATTAAAATTCGGTCAGCATAATCACGAAATGGAGTAGGGGAATCGTGTCGAAAATGCTTGGGGATTACTGAGATAAATTTTCTGGAGTGAATCCACTGACAAAATTTTTTAAAGAAATTTTCAAAAATTTTTTTTTTTATAACTTCAAACGCTTTTCGCACGTGTGTAAAAGAAGCGTAAATCCGATCGATTTTAACACCAGTTTTTCCCTTTTCCAGATCCCTTTTGAACTAGAGATGTAAAGGGCGGCAGCGGAAGCACCAAGAATCAAACGAAAACAGTGCAAATTGTTATCAGTGAAAGTTGCTCAGTTTCACAGTGTACAGTCATGCACCAGCAGCAGCATTTCGGCCAGAAGGACATCGTCAGCACGTCCATGGACTCAGCGGTGCCCTACCAGACACAGTTCGGGTATGCCGCGACGGACGCTTGGTCGTACAACTCCACGGTGACGCCAATGAAGCAAATCGAAGGTAAGGCGAAGATTTACGAGTGTATCTAAAGAAATCTAAACGTATTTGTAAATTAAAAAAAATTTAAATGCTTGTAAGACGATGTAAACAATAAACCACGGCGATAAGAGCGTTATGAAAACCACAGTAATTGTCAAATCCAATCGGCTGACCATGGAACTTTGTTGAACGAATTAGAAACATTTTGTTTATCTATCACCGTCATAAACGTGTTGAATTTATATCTACAGCATCTATGCTAATTTATTCTGTAAGATTTAGGTGCGCCACAGGGATCTACTTTGGGCCCACTCTTACTAGTAACGTTTATTAACGCCAAAATATCGCATCTCAATGGAGTGCGCTGTCTGCAGTATACTGATGAGTGTCGTGCAATTCTTCAGGAAACTAATAAATTAATAAAGTCTTTGGGTGCGTTCAAAACAACTTTTATTGCAGAGTAGTGAAATGTCATGACATTGACACGTAAATGTTTTTGTATTAAATATAAACAATCTAAGTGACGACATTTTCTGCTTGAGAATTTTCATTTCTCTTTATTCTAGAACAAAAAAGACTTTGGCGGTCTAGGACATAAAAGTATTTTGCAGCTAGATGACAAAAGACTCACTTTGTCAACTGAAATTTTATCGAAAATGTCGACGTTCGATGACAGTTTTCGAAAAAACGAATTAAAACACAGGGTGTCTCATAATTAGCTGCCAACCCTGAACAGGCCGATTCTATGATCAAAACTAAGTAAAAAAGTTCATATGAACATGCGTCCGGAAATGCTTCCTAAGGGCACAGGGACCCATTGAAGAGGGAGGAATGGAAATAATTTTTTTGCAATATCTCTCAATCGCGTTGTGATAAATGAATGAAATTTGGTATACACAGCTAAATTTCATTCATTTATCACAACGAGATTGAGAGATATTTCC